CAAAAGCAGGGGCTTTGCAGTCATGGAGACCTGGATTCAAATCCTGCCTGTGTCACCACCGCCCATGTGACCTTGGTTTCTTCATCCGTGAATAGCACCTTCTACATGCCCGGCTCTCACCCTGGGCAGGGGACCTGCCTCTCCGCCTGGGCGCCACAGCCTCAGACTGACTACAGCGTGAGCTCCGAGTCTAGGCAGTTGTTTGCAAACTTGACTGCCCATCTGAGTTATCTGTGCTTGTCTGGAGTTCTGATTCCCAGACTGACACCCTAGAGATTGTGATCCTCTCTGCCTGGGTGGGGCTCAGGAATCTGCATGCTTAGCAAGCTCCTGAGAGGATTCTGAAGCCAGTGGTCTGTGTTGAGAATCACCGAATCACTGGCCAATGGGAAAGACTGACCAGTATGAGGTTTTTCCAGTTTAGTAGAGAAACTGTTAAATGAGGGACCTGAGGCTAAGCTGGGGGCTCAGAAACTGACTTGCAGAGCAGCTGAATCTTGAACTCTGAATAGGTTTTAACCATGTGGAAGAGCATTCCAAGGGAGGGAACAGCATTAGAAACAAAGTGACTTATGTGTGTGGAGTCCTGACCAGAGTATTATTACTAAAGTATAAAGTGCCAGCTGGGCAAGGGAAAATGAGGCCATAGGAGGCAGGGGGCAGGCCCTTAACAGTTTGTAGGCCAAGCTGAAGGTTCTGGACCATTTCCTAGGGAGTGAGGAGTGCTAGGGTGAGATTTCTGTTTTAGAAAGTTAACACTGGTGCTATATGAAAGACTAGTTATAAGGGCAGAGCCTGGGGGCAGAGGGACCTGGCAGGAAGCTGTTGACGTTATTCAGATAAAAGTTGGAGGTCTGATCTGGGGCAGTGGTGGTGGGGATGGAGAGAAGGGACAGGTGAGACACTCAGGAAGCAAAGTAGTCAGCTCAGTGATTCATTTGATGTGAGGGAGCGGACGAAAGAGCAAGTGAAGAGGGGGGACTCAGGAGGGCCTCCAGGGGCTTGACACCTAGGATGGTAGAGGTACCACTCACCAAGGTAGGGGGAGTAGATGAAGCAAGTTTGGAGGGAGATGATGGGCTCCGTGTGGGACACACAATGTTTAGTGAGATGTCTAGAGGACAAGTAGATGGAGATGTCTAGTCAGCAGTTGGATACCTGGATCTGTGGCTCAGGACAGAGGTGAGGCTTGGGATGTAGATTCAGAAGCCATCAGCACATCCCGTTTGAAGCTGTGAGATAAAGGATGTCCCCTGATACAAAACAGTAGGGAACACCGACGTTTTATGGACAGAGAAAGGAAGATGATCCTGCAAGAGGCCGATAAGGAGCAACAGTTAGGGAGGGAGAGAAAGCGAGAAACAAGTAGTGTCAAGAAAAGCAAAGGAAGAAAGCATGTCAAGGAAGAGGGTTGGTCAACAGGGTCAGGTGCATCAAGTCGAGTCTGGCCTGTGGACTGTCCTTGCAGTTTGCAGATGAAATGGCTACTGGCGACCATAGTGAGAGCAGCCTCAGTGGGCAGAGGGGCAGAAACCAGCTTACCCTAGTTAAGCAACAGGTGGGAGGAGAGGAAGTGGAGACCGTGGGTTTGGGATCCTTTTCCAAGAAGCATACCAAGTGAAGAGAGGTAAGAGAATGGCAGATAGCTAGAGAGCTACTTAGTGACAAGGAGGAATTTTTTTAACGATGTGAGAACGTTGAGAACGTTTCTTGGATGAAAGGTAAGAGTAGAGAATGAGAGGTTGAAGATAAAAGAAGAGAAAGGCAGTGACTGAGAGAGCATCATCTGGGAGGACCAGAGCCCAGAGGACTCCCACAAAGAAGCTTGCTTTGAACAGGAGAAGGAGCAAATACTCAGAGCCCTGAGGGATGTGGGGATAAGGCTGGACACATGGAGACAACTTTGCAAATATCTTTTGAATCATGGCTCTGCCACTTCCAGCCATTGATGCTGGGCAGCTAACTCAACATCTCTCATACTCAGTTTTCTTAGCAGTGACATACAAATCTAAAGAACGTAACTCATAACAGGTTATCAGGATGAAATTAAGTGATGCTTGTGAAACACTTAGCACAGTAGCTGGCAAATGATAAGTACTCAGATGTTTAGTCATTGTTACTGTGGTTATCATTGTTTTTATATTAGAGGGTCCAAGGAATTGAAGTGGTTTATGCCTAATGTTGTTAAAGTAAGATTTGAGGCCGTCTTCTGAAAGTGAGCCACACTAAGGATGGAGCATGAGCAGAACAAAGGGCCTGAGAATGTTCTGAACTATTGCTGATACAGATGGAGGTAGGAGGTGATCAAGGACAAGTCATATGTTTTTTGTATTTACTCGTAGATTTACCATTTCTGGTGCTCTTATATTCCTTCTTTAAAGATTCAAATGTCCATCTGTAAAGTTTCTCTTTAGCCTAAAGCATTTCTCATAATGAGGGCTCACTGGTGACAAATTATCACAGCTTTCCCTTATCTGAAAATGTTTTTGTTTTGCCATCATTGTTGAAGGAAATTTTCACTGGCTATAGAATTCTAAGTTGACGTGATGGTGGCTATTTCTTTTGAAACTTTAAAGATGTTGTTCCATTATCTTCCATTGTCTTCTGTCCTGCAGGATATAGTTCGGCTGTGTTTACAGAAACCCAAAATAGCAGTGGCTTAAGCAAAATAGCAGTTCAGTTCTCTCTCATACAACAGTCTGCGTATTCCAGTCCAAGGCTGCTGTGGTGTCTTCCCAGAGTCAGGGCCTCAGGCTTCCTTTCTCTTATTGATCTGTCATTAGTACTCTGTCACCCTCATCTCTGTGGGCCACTATGACTCACCACCACCTATCTTCACTTGAAGCAGTGGGAAAGGGAAAGGGGGCAGCTGTGGGCATCCTCCCCCCGTAATGAAGGACCCATACCAGAATATGCATACATCACCGTCACATCCCATTGACCAGAACTTAGCCACCCAGCTGCAAAGGAAGCTGGGAAATATAGTCTTTATTTGGGGCAGCCATGAGTCCATCTACACATTCAGAGTCCTGTTACTGTAGAAAGGGAGACTGTATATTAGGGGACAGCCAGCAGTCCCTGCCACCAGTCCTGAGCTCTGCACCCAGTTTTTAGCTCAAGAGTCACTTTACAGGAGCTTGGCACTCCCAGGGGAGCCCATTCACACTGATGATTGAAAGATTTCCGCCATTTTTCCTCAAGGGTATCAGAAGATAAGGATTGTCATTCTAACATCTACCAATGAATGGATGTTGTGTGACTGTTAAGGAATAAGGCTGAGTCCACAAGCCACTCGTCAATTCCAGACCTGTTCCCCAGTGGCTACTCCATGCAGGAAAGGTGTGCGAAGCTGGGGTGGAGAGAGCCCAGGTGATGCCAGGGTTTTAGTGCTGAGCCTCCCAGCTCTGCCACCGATTGTCAGAGTCACCCTAGGCATGTCCTTTAACTTCCCTGGTCTTTTCTTTTATCTCCAGAGTAAGGGATTGGGTCATATCCAAGGTGTTTGTCCACCGCCCACGTTCTAGAATTTTATGATTCCTGTATTATAAGGCAAGCTCCCAGGGGGCTGCAGCCCCTCTCACTCATTTGTGGAATGAGTTGGGGGTGTGAATGGATGTGCTCATGCTTGTAGTCGGCCTGGGGCACCTGCCAACGTGGGTTTTTGAAAATTTCCTTGGGCTTTCCTTGGCTGTATGTTTTAGAGTCAGAAGTCACTGAATAATTTTCCATACAAATAAACTTATTTTTTAAATTTTATTTTTCTTTAAAAATGTTTTTTTTTTTCTGCTTCTGGAACTATTATATGTTCCTTGTAGAAAATAGAGAAAACATAATGAAGGAAAAATTTGCCCATAATGTCACTATTCAGACTGGCATTATTAAGACTTTAGCGTATTCCTTTCACTTTAACGTCTAAGAAAATATGAAAAATACTTATATCTCTACTTCAATTAATCAAATTGGGATCACAATATGCATGATGTTTTATAATCTGCTTTTTTTCGCTTGATGACGATTTTCCCCAAAACCTTAAATATTTTTCGAGAACATGATTTTTAATGGCTGCCAAGGATTCTCACCACATGGGGGTCCAGCACTGTACTTGACCAGTGCCCTGCACATGCAGGCTGCGTCTGAGTCCTCATTACTACCAGTTATGGAGCAATGACTACAGTTCACACTGACGGCATCTTAGCTCCTGTACAGACACTGGGTGCAGGTGAGGCCCAGCGAGATTGGGTGGCCCGCCCAAGGCCACACAGTGAATAAATGACAGGTCCTGGCCATCTGGCCACAAGGTTGACTGCACCCTCCCCAGCTGCATCTCCCTGGTGTCAGGACAGAGTGGGCACAGGTATGGCATAGTGGTGCTTGGGACAGTTGGCTCCCAGTGTGTTGGTTTGGGTGTGAAAGAGCCGGTGGGCTTCCCTAGCAAGATGCTGCTCTGGGTGGCCTGCGATGCCCCTGAGGGAGGCGGCTGTGCTCTGGCCCGACACAGCCGCAAGCTGCCCTGGTCCCCTCCGCCCCCACCTGCTTGGGGCAGTGGTGACCCCAGCCCGGGCGCCTGGCTCCAGGGCTGAGGGGAGAAGCTTGGGAGCCTCCAGGAGAGGCTGCGAGAGAGGGAGGCAGGCAGCACCAGGCTGGGGCAGGGAGACCACCCGCTCCTGCTCCTCAGGGCCCCCCCGGGGAAAGGGGCACAGGAGATACGCATTCCAGTGGCCTCCTTCCTGGGGAAGCCTCCTCACCCCGCTCTCTCCTCCCCTTCCCACAGCACTTTTCTCTCCCTCTCCAGGAAGTGTCACTCTTGAACAAACCTGCCCTCATCCTTGTTTAACTCAAACTTACTTTCCCTGAGAGGGAGGATTGGGTTCCCTGTTGAGTGGAGGAGGAGGGGCGGGGACAGCAGAGCAGGACCCACCTTGGCTTCGTGTGAAGGTTGCCTCTTTGGCTGGTTGTGTCACTACTTTCTGTCTTGACCTTTCTGTGCTTTTCTCGAACAGGCAACCATTGGGATTGACTTCTTGTCAAAAACCATGTACTTGGAGGATCGTACGGTGAGAACTGGGAGGATGGGGAGGGCTCCCTCGCCCGTGCCTACCCCAGAGCTGGCAGTGCCGGGACCCCCCCCCCCAAGGCCCACTCCCACCACAAGGATCTCACTGCCCCTGCTGACGCCCTGCCCTCCCTGCAACAGGTGCGGCTGCAGCTCTGGGACACAGCAGGCCAGGAGCGATTCCGCAGCCTGATCCCCAGCTACATCCGAGACTCCACAGTGGCCGTGGTGGTGTACGACATCACAAGTGAGTGAGGGTCCTGGGCGGCTCCCAGGGTCTCCAGGCTGCAGCCTCAGTGTGTGTGTGTGCGCGTGTACGTGCTCATGTACTTGTCCTCTGAATGCAGGAAGGCAGGTGCTCGGGGGTGGGAGGTGAGCTGCCTTTGAACACTGTCGTGTTTTCCCCCTTCCCCATCCTTCTGTGGCAGGCACTGGTGTACAGGACTGAGTTGGTCCTGCTCAGGGCAGGGGTCTGGGTAGAGGAGAGCACAGACTCACAAGGCTGGCCCTTCTCCCAGCCCTTCTGTGTACTCCCTGGCCCTGGCTACTAGAAAGATCTCTACAGAGTGACTTCTTTGTGTCTCTGTGTCAGGATGGGTGAAGATGCTGGTCCCTGGGCCAACCTTGACCTGGCAGCCATGGTTTTGTCAGCTGGCATCCCAGCTCTGTACAGGGCTCCCTGGGAGGGGAGGTCAGGCGGGTCTGGCAGAGCTGTGGGTGAACTGCTCTTCTCACACACTGTGGCTCTTTGGAAAGCGGCTGTTCTTGAGAGCAACTACACAGCCCTGAGGGAGGCCTGTGGGGCTGGGGGGTAAGGAGGCGGGGCCTGGTGCAGAGCCCCAGCTGCCCAGGCAGGTATAATGGAACACACCCGTAAGCCCCTGGGCCGCAGTCATGCCTGTGGTAGGTGGATACCCCGGCACTGCCCCTGCCTGCTGCCCCTGGCTCTGCCCGCCCCCTCTTCATGACTGCACGCTCCCTGCACACCTGAGTGCAGGTAGGAGCTGGGCCCCTCTCGGCCTGGCCTCCTGTGCCTGATGCTGAGCAAAAGGGAGATCAGGCTACAGGAAGCAGGCTTCCCAGGACAGACCGCCTCCCCTCCCTCGGGCGTGCAGGCTGCTGCGTGGTGGGCCTCATCCTGCAGCGACTGCTGTGCAGGTCTGTCCCGTCTTCTGACTGAGGAGAGGGCTGCCCTGAAATGGCCAGGCCTCTCCTGCTTTTTTCTGCTCCTCTCGCCGCCTTTGCCCCTGTCTTACTTGCAGGGCCTGAGGGTTCTCTTCAGAAACCCCTCTGACCTTTCTTGAGCCCCGCTGAACTCCGCTCAGTGGGAGGCCACTCTGGAGGGCCCTCCCCTCCCAGGGGCTGCTGTAGGCAGCCCCCCCACTGTTTCCAGGCTCAGCTGAGTCCAGTGCACCCACTTCCCTCTCCGCTCCCCTCTCTGCTCTGAGCCTCCAAAGGGAGGTCAGCCCCTCAGGTGGGCCCCTAAAACCACTGGTCCATGCAGCAAATCATGACACAGTGAGCTTCCAGGTGGGGGTGACTTCTGTCAAAAGAGGGTGGCTCAGCAAAGGCGAGGGTCTCTCCAGGCCCCCAGGCAGCAGCTCCACAAACACACGTGGGCCTCCTCTGGAAGACCCAGACCCACTGGTCTGTGTGGCCTGTGCTCCCACCCCCCCCAGCTGTCTGAGCGCGCACTACCTCCTCCCTCCCTCCTGCTCCTGGGCTCACAGCCCTTCCCACCTTTCCCCTCTCCCACCCGGCTGGTGCTCACTCCCAGTTTTATCCCTCCTTTCCACCTCCAGATCTCAACTCCTTTCAGCAGACCTCTAAGTGGATTGATGACGTCAGGACAGAGAGGGGCAGCGACGTCATCATCATGCTGGTGGGCAACAAGACGGACCTGGCCGACAAGAGGTAGGTGCGCCGGCGCGGAGGTGCAGGGGCTGGCCGGCCGGGCCCGCCCTCCGTGTCTCTACAGCTCCTCCTGGACAAGGAGTTCTGGGATGCGTGGGTGGTGAGCACTCTGACCTGTCCCCATGCATCTGGGAAAGGCCCCCTGGGTGCACTGGAGGCAGCCAAAGCACCTGGTAGGCCCCTGCCTGCCTACAGGAGTCTCATCTCTGAAGCCGCACCTTCTGTGGCTGGCAGGGGCACTCCTCTGTGCACAGTCTGCATGGAGCCCTGTGCGCCTGGCCCGCTCCAGCAGTGCATGATCTGGAGCTCGGCCACGGCACAGCACAGCTGCAGACACAGCAGTCCCTCGGGCTCCCACCGGCCTCTGCTTGTGTTTTGTGTCTCTGCCACTGTGAAGTGCCTGCACCGTGTCAGTATGGATGTGAAGGTCCTGGAGCCCAGGTGTGAACATGCACAATTTTCTGGTCCATCGCTGTGTCTGGGTGTGATGCTTCCAGGGCACGGGGCTGACTGAGGTGCTGCTTACATAGATTTATCCACTCATCTCATGGGACCCAGCTTGGCCAGAGAAAGCAGCAGGTCATGGACTGTGGCTTCCTGAAAGGTACTCTGACCATTTCAGGAGTAACCTGATTTACAGTCTGCTCTGTTAGAATCCTGTCCTTGAAGTGAAGAAAATGGGGCTCAAAGCCCAGCTCCTTTGCTAAGTAGGTGACTTGGGGCAATCACTTAACCATAACCATTTTCTCCTTTGGAAAATGAGACTGATGATACCATCCAGAGGCAGGTCGTGGCTCGAAGCGCTGTATAAATGTAGGCTTGGCCGTGGTGACTATTGGGAAAGGCAGGTGCGGGCCTCCTGCTAAACTGGAAGCTGCTACAGAAGGAATAGGGAAAGGAGCTGGTGTCCTGCTGTGCCCTGTGCCCCCTTCATCCTGGAGGGAGCCCCGGGGTCAGAGCCCTGTCCTCAGGGCTGACTGAGGGGCCTGGTCAGCTCCCTTGCCCTGCTGGGCGGGCCCTCCTCATCTCGGGCTGTGCCTCCACCTCCACCAGGGGCTGATTCTCCCCTCTTCCCTCATCTGCAGGCAGATAACCATCGAGGAGGGGGAGCAGCGCGCCAAAGAACTGAGCGTCATGTTCATCGAGACCAGCGCAAAGACTGGCTACAACGTGAAGCAGGTAGGACACACCTGGTGCTGACCCCTGGCCTAGCTCAGCCACACGTGGCTTCCAGCATGGTCACCCACGGGCTCAGCCTTGCCGTGCCCTGAGGGGCTGGTGACTGAGTTGGGGCAGCCAACCAGAGCACCCACAAACCTATGTACTGGGGAACAAACCTCCAGAGCTGGTAAAGCATGCAAGAGGGAGGGAGCACCCACCCTCAGGGGGTGGTCAGAGAACGTCATCATTAGCCACCACACAGCAACCCCTCACATGGCCCCTGCCGTATGCTGTCAGCATCCAGCCACCCACTTCCAGGTGGCTGAGAGGGCAGCGTTTCCCCAGCATCTTCCCTCACTGGGATTGGGGTGCAGGCAGCTCAATCTGATCAGCATTTTGGGGTTCGTGCCTTGTGCTTGGCAAGTGCGCGGGGCTGTGGAGGGCCAGGCTGGCTTCGAGAAAAGAGCCCACTCATGGTGCGGTTGGAGCTCGCAGGAGGGAGAGGCCTGGTGAACCAAAATCGTCAGAGGAGTGGTGGAGAGGTGGGGCTCGTGCTGAGCCCAGAGCAGGGGGACCTCTGGGTCCACAGACCCCCAGGGAGTCCCTGAACGGAATTCAGCAAGTCAGCAGCTTGGGTTGGAAAAGTCTACGCCTTTGTGTTCACTAACCTCTAGCGTTGCTTTTAGCCATGAGTATGGGCCGCGAGCCTCCGTGCTAGGCGCAGCGCCTGGGGTTTATCACAATAGAAATCTCAGCGGTTTGCTCATCGTCTCACAGTGCTTCCGGGCTTCTTGAACTTGACGGTGTCCCTCCCTCGGCATCACAGTGGTCATTAGGCCGACTGCTAGCTCTTGCTGTTTAACATGTTCATAAGGAAGCACGAATGCTGCTCCATCACACTTTGTGTCTTTAAAGATTTTAGAAGTGTGTTTTGAGGCTGAATGGTTTCCTTTATGCTTCTGTGTCATTGATCTTACACACTTAAAAAGAGACCATAGGCTTCACCAGACTGCCGAAGGGGTCTTTGGGTCAGAAAGGTTAGGAACCCCTGCCTTCAAGGAAGAGACGACTTGGCGAAGGGACGAGGAGGAAGGGCATTCAGGCAAGGGCAACAGCATGAGCGAAAGTGCCTGTGGCGTGGGAAGGGGACGCTGAGTGAGGAGCATGGCTTGGCTGTGCGTCGCTTCTGCCCTGCCGCCCCAGAGGTGCCCTAGAACACTTGATGAGCTGCCTGTGCAGCAGATGGCCTGAGTGTAGGGATGGCTCACCCCACGTGGCAGTGCTGGTGGCAGTGGGGAAGGTGGCAGAGGAGCAGGAGGAGACAGTGGAAGGCCCGGAAGCTCCCAGGACTCAGTGTCCCCGCCCCAATTGGAGTGCCCTCAACATGGCTCCATTCACTCCCACCCCTTTCCCAGGCTCCTGCAGTATAAGGCTGGGGCTGCCATGGTGTCTCCTGGAGGAGGGAGCTGCCCCTCCCCGGAGGCATGCAGGAGACACTGGGCTGCTGCTCTCTGCAGCCCTCATGGAAAGTCACGGGGGACAGGAGAGCAGAGGCACTGCCAGGACATCCACAGGGCAGGGAGCCTCTGCCCCAGGGTCAGGGTCAGGGAGATGCTGATGTTTCCCTTCCTAGAGTGCTCTGGAAGCCAGGCGATGGTCTGAGCAGGAGTTAAATGTGGTCACGTCACACCTGGGCGGTTCAGAGAAGGAGTCTCGTGCAGTGCAGACTCCTGGCATCTAAACATGATCATATCTGCTCTCAGAGATCCATGTGTGACCCCAAGAGCTTCCTTCCAACCGGCACTTTGGCCCTCGGCAGAGGCTGTGACCATTCTGACAGTGAGAATGGGGCTGCCTGGGGCAAGGCCGTGAAGGAAAGCCCAGGAGGAGTGACCAGGCCCTCTGCACCCTCAGCCGCTTTTGCCTGCCCCACTCCGGAGTCCCCTCTACAGCCCACCCACCAGCAAATTCCCTGTTCGGACCCTCACTGCCTCTGGTCCTGTCGCTGAGCCTGGGTGCTCTGATAGGGCTGGGCTCTGGGTGAGGCCATGAATAAGACTCATCCTGTCCTCGGAGGGCCCGCACAGTAGAGAACTTACAAGCCCAGAGCCCACTGAGATCCTGCATTTGGTGTTTGTGGGGAGGGGGCAACATGCACAATCTTTGGGTTCCTTGTACTTGTTGTCACCTCCTAGGTTCCATGTCTGCCAGCACCCCACCTGACACCCCACCCATGGCTGCCCCAGAGCACACACACACCACAGAGTTCTCCCCATGTGCTTACACAGACTTACACGCACAGAAAACCCACACAGTACACATACCTTCCTCAACATGTTTGCACAAATTCACACACACACTGACACCACACATCCACATCCACACACACACCGTACATAGTCTACACACACACCTCTATACTCAGTATACACATCACACTCACACCCACACCCCAACAAACCCACAACATCACGTTCGCACTCTCATGTCCTTATTCTCTAATTAAAGTCTCTCCACTCTGACTGTGTGGCCCTGGCTGTGTGGCACCCCGTTGCCTCAATGCCCGTGGACTTGCAGGACTCCCTGTGCAGAGGTCATTTGTCTCAAGGGCCGGTTGAAAGTCAGTTCCCCACACCTGGTCCCCACATAGGCAGTGGGACAGAAGCTCACTTAAGCGCTTGTCTCCCAGGGCTTAGATCAGTTTCTGCACTGGGCTAGGTCCCTTGCAGTCACCATAACCCACACTCAGCCCTTCGTGACCCCGTGGCGAGCCTCCCGGGGTGAGAGGCCTACTAGGACCCAACGCTGTAGGTGGCGCTAGGGGTGGGAGAGAGAAGTTGGGTGCGGCCTGTGCCCCCCAGGGCACGGTCAGCAGAACAGACAGGAGGGTGAAGTCCAAGGTCAGGATGGGAAGAGTGAGAGGGTGGAGACAGGGAGGAGGGACAGGCGCAGGGGCTCATGCTGCATCTCACCCTCTCCAGCTCTTCCGACGCGTGGCATCGGCTCTGCCTGGAATGGAGAATGTCCAGGAGAAAAGCAAAGAAGGGAGTATCCTTTTCTTTGACGAGTGGGTGAAAGATGTGCTGGAGAAGTCACTTATCTGTCAGCTGGTTCACTTAGTATTTCAGAACAGCGGCCTCACCTGCCCCTAGCCCGGCCTTCCCTGCTGATGGGGGTGGTTGTGGGGCCTCTTCTGTGCAGGGGTGAGGCTGAACTCCAGGGGCTTTGAGTCCCATCCAGCTCAAACCATCTAAGCTGCTTCTTCCAAAACAGTGTGGGACACCAGAGGGATGTGTACAGAGTGACGGTGTGAGGCAGGGAGTGAGAAATAGTAACTCCGCCCTTCTTTACGGTGAGCGCCGCCTTGCATGTCATGGGGACAGGCAGACTCTCCACTGAAGGGAGGGCTTCTAGACACTGAGATATGATTTCAGCCTGGTTCAGCCTACTCTACACGAGACGGCTCCCCCAGCGGGTGTTCCTCCCCGGTCCTGCCTGCTCCCCTGGCCCAGCCCTGCACAGCCCCGGGCTCCCCGCAGCTCTGTGGGGCAGGGTCTGCACGCCACCCACACAGTCCACCCCAAACCTCAGGCAACACCAGAAGCTGAGGTTGAGGTTCAGAGAGGTGTTCCGGTTCACCCAGTGGAAAGGAAGGCAGGCGTTTATTATGTATTTACTAGTTTATTTATATGCTGCCATGTTATTAAAAATGCATTTATGTCTATACTCACACACATGCACACAAAACAAGGTAAAAATGCACGTGTGTGTACACGCACACATAAGAAGATTGAGGTGTAGGGAACATAAATGTACGAAAACAAGGAAAAGTCAGAGATAAGTCATCTCAACATATACGCCGTGGCTGAGAGGCCAGAAAGTGACCAGGCAGGAAACGTGACCTTTAAGAGAAGAGCGGCTTTTTATGGGACTTAAAGTCGAAAGAATCTCCCCCCTCCCCACCGCCCCACCCAGCCCCATAGCACGCCACAAACCCACCCAGGAGGAGCCCTTCTGTGCATCCTCAGCTGTGATCAGGCCTGGCGTGAGAGGGTTTTCAGTGTGAGGAGGGCAGCCCGGCTGTGTGTTTTGAACCTGCTCCCCTCCCCTGGTGGTTCTGATTGGTGCTTCTCCGGCCCACAGTCCCAGGGCACCAATGGAAAGGGCTGCGGAGGGACTGTGCTGAGGCCCTGCCCAGGGATGTGGCTTCTCAACGGCGGCAACCTCAGGTCTAAGTGACGCACTCTTGACTACAGCTTGAGGCGTCGATGTTGCTGCGGCTGACTAGGGCAAGGCCCATGGAGCCCTGTGCTTTGAGATGGCCAGCCAGCTCTCCACCTCCAGTGCACTTTGGGGTGGGGCTGACAGGCAGCAGGCCGAGGCCTCGGCTGGGAGCCGGCATTCCACCACCTGTCACCAGGAAGCTTCTGAGAAAGGGTCTGTCCCGCCTGTGTTTAGGTGGTTGTCCCATAGCCCAGGACAAGCTTGGCTTTGAGTGGCTAGGGGTGAGGGCATGTGGGAGGGTCAAGAAAGAGGAGGAGTGGGAACTGGTGACCCTGCATCCTTGCTCCCCAAGGCAAGCAGAGAGCCGAGTCCCTGGGTGTTTGCGGAGGGACAGACGGGCCGCGCAGGGCAGCTGAGGGGTGCATAGGGGCGTGCGCTGGGGTGGCAGCCTCTCCGTGAGAGTCGTCTTCCTTAGCCCAGCCCCTCGCAGTGATCGACATCAAGCTGGACAAACCCCAGGAGCCCCCGGCCAGTGAGGGCGGCTGCTCCTGCTAATGCAGCCTGACCTGCCGGCTTCCTTCGACACTACTCGCTTGTTGTGTTGCTTCCTATTGGTTAGCTTCCTAAGGGGGGTGGGAAATGAGCTTATCAAGAGGGGAGGACTTTTCTTTTCTCTCTGTCTCTAGGAGTAGGGTGGGTGGGGAGGGAGGCTGGGCATCAGGGATCACGTCACTCTTAACAGCTGTTACTTAAACAACTATTTTTTGGTTTGGTTGTAATATATTGTACTTTATTAAGATTGCCAAAAACTGTTAAAATTAAAAAAAAAAATTTAAATCATGTGTATACAACTTTTTGCCAGATAAAAATGTAGTCATTTTTATTTGAAAGATGTGCTTTTTTGTTTTTGTATATTTGTAAACTTATAGAGAACCTTTCCCACGCACCTCCTCCTTCCTGTCCTCTTTAAACTCTTCGTCACCTCTGCCCGCCTCCCATCTCCAGCCCCGCAAATTAAAACAATTAACTGGGCAGCTTAATTTGGCTCCAATCCTGGGCCATCTGGCCCCGACCAAGCAGGCCCCACCAAAGAGGCCCTACCAACCTGCTTAAATCAGACGCTGATGGAACAACACGGCCTCTGCAGAGGCAGCTCTGTCTGTCCTTCCTCGGCCAGAGGGGGACATCAGCCAGGGCCCTGAGCTCAAATTAAGGCCTCGTGGCCTGTAGGGAGCCCAGCCGCAGGCCACATTGGAATTATTTTTGCCTCTCCTTTCCCATCCCTGAAAAGCCTCGAAGTGGGAGGCACTTGCCACAGGCAACCTTGTGTGCTCTGTGGTCCGCCCAGTGATTGGCTGTGTAAGAGGTCATCAGAAGGAAGGACGGGGTGCTGTGGGCTGTGTCACTGTGTGGTTTATAGACTTGGGGCACCACGCATAGTTCTGAATATGTTTTAACCAACCTGCCCAGTGATCAGAACACATGTCTTGGTTGAATCTAAGGGAAGGGCAAAAAGAAACTCAGTGTGGGCCCCCCTGAAACCCTCCTCTTTGGCCATCAGGGAAGCCGGAGCCTGTATCCCATGGTATTAGTCTGTCTGTGAGTGGGGAAGGGAGGGTTGTCTGCAGAACCGCCACCTTGAAGATGCATGTTCTCAGATCCTCGGTTGCTGATACTGTTGAGTGCTGTTCTGGAAAAGCTGACTTCTTGATGTGTTTTCACCCCACTGGTAGAGTGCAGTTGAAATGTTTGTGCACATACCTTTGTGGACACTGTATCAGCACTGGTTGCCTGAGGGTCGGGCTGAGGTGAGGTCTCCAGAAGGCTGCCCAGAGAGCCATTCTTGCCATTTTTGACTCATTTCTGACAAGGGCTTAGTCCCGAAGACCTGTAAATTCTCTGAAGAGAGCTCTCTCTTCTCACTAAGTGATATAACCCACGTGGCCCCCATTCCAAATAGACCCAGACTCACCAACCCTGAGCCTGCACAAAGCCAGGCGGTGGGCACCAACTCTGGTGGAAAATGATAAACCCCACCCTCCAAGCTGGCTTTGACTCTTCCTCCAGGCCACTGTTGGGCATGTCTTAAGTGAGCTAAATGACCATCTGGGTGTGGTAGGAGGTGAATTCCTCCACAAAACAGGGCTCCAACAAGTCATCGCAATGAATCTTGGAACTTCTCAGAGATGAATCCAAAATGGCAACCAGTAACTGCATCAGAACCTGGCAGGACTCTCTGATCCTTGTCCAGTGGGCCTGTCACACACTGTCAGCTAAGGAGACTATACCTCAGAGCTGATCCTTAGAGAGGAATTCACCTTCAGGTGAAGAAAAGAGGAAGCCAGAGTCCCACGGAGCTCCTCTTCCAAAAGGCAAAGACCAATGTACGAACATAATTCCAATGTCACGTGTTTAGTTTTTATATGTGTGTACAGAATTATATATAGAGATAGACTTGTGTATACACCTTCCACACACACATTCTCACAGAGATACATGTGCTCAATGTATATTCTTGTTTTTCCTGCTCTCAATTTGGAGCTTGCATTGTGGTAACAGTTTTGGAAATTCAAAAGTACTGCAACGTGTTGAAATAAGAAATACTTAATATTGTCCAAAAAACTTGTGATTGTCTTGCCATCAATAAAATAATACATAGATGTGTTAAACTACAGGCAAAAATAGCCCACAGGAATATGTGCACCATTTCTCTCTCTATGTACTTATATGCACGGGTGTGCACGCCCATGTGGGCCAGTATCCCCCACCATGGCACACCCCCAAGTGGTGCTTGTTGGAAGAGTGCTTACTTACCTCGGGAGAACTTACAGGAGTCCATGTTCCAGCATCTGGTCTGGTTGGCATGAGGGCCATTGCTTGTGGCCTCTGGGACGCCCCATTTACAGGGATCTGCATTAGATCCCAGTGAATGAATGTATGGTGGATTTTTATTTTCTTGGTACTAAAGAGTAGCTTTTCTTAAAACATTCCTGTAAAAAAATAAGTAGAAACTCAGCTCCCTTCTCATATGTGAAGGCACCGTGAACTTTTTTTCCAGCCTAGAGCAGTAAGAGACACAGTAGATATCGTTTGGCTTGACATGGCCTCGGTGAGCCCTGCCTTTCTTAGCATGCACACATCTTCTTCTCTCGAGTCCAGGTTCTCCCCAACCCCAGGGCCTCTGCAGGTGTGGGCAGTTGCCTCCTCTCGTCCTCCCATCTCAGTGGTGCCCTGCTATTCCATGACCCTCTTTTCTGCAGGCCTGATTTCCACCCCTCATTTTTGGGGTCTGTTAGGGCCGTCAGACCTAAGCACACTGGTTCCTTGGCTCTCGTTTTGAACAGGTACCACCACTGTCCTCTTGCTTGTAGGTGGGATCTTGACTCAGATTTAAGGCTCAATGATAAAATGACCAGGTTCCTTTGAAGAAGATGTCATGAAATTGCCTCAGCATCCCCAGTGAGGGTAGAACATTTTTGCTGAATCCACATGGCCTTGCACAAGGCCAAGTGAGGGAATTCTTTTTAGGAAATGACCTCAATTTAGCCAGTAGTTCAGAGTCTCTCCCCAAAGACTACCCTAACCTGGGAGAGGAGCAGGGTCATCTTTAGGTCCTCTTTTTGTCTTTGGGGATCTCAAAGAAAACCTGTCAATAAAGCTCCTGTTTTGCAAGCATCTGAAAAATTGAGCATAAGATGGAAAAAGCAGACCGCATACTTATAAATGCATACAAGTGCCAGAAGAACGTGTGCCGTCAGCAGCGGGAGGGCTCGACCTGCTGTTGTGTAGTCCAAGGTTAGCAGGCTTGATTATAAGCTAGTTTCTTTTGGTCAGAGGCCTCCCTGTGATGACTGTCACCACTCTTTTCGTGTCAGCATCCTCAAACATTCTGTAATATTCCCAGGTCCAAGGAGCAATGGCCAGATCAGTTCAGGCGTCTCAGGCAACAGAAACAAGGATTGAAAGGTGGTAGCTAAGGGTGCAGACACAACTTGAGTGCGTCTCTGTCCTCCCGGTGGCCAGCTAGTGCTGGGAGCCTCTGCCCTCTAATACCAGGTGTGACAGTAATGGCACCGCTGGCTTCGGTGTCCGGCAGGCAGAGCAGCCTCTTTCCTGCACTCAGTGGAAGGCAGGTGAGGATGTCAGGATGTGAGACAGGTAGCCAAGGACTGAGGCGTGTCTGAGCCACATGAGGGGCGGCTGAACAGAAGTATGTCTGTGTGCATCGACCAGGCAGGGTTGTGTGCTCACTAGTTTCCAAACTACCTCTCCCCCAAGAATGTGAGGCATCGTCACCTGGCTACAGCGGTGTGAGGCAGAGGTCTCATAACCCTTCCTGTTCCACAGGCAGGAAAACCAAGACAGAGAGGGGTGACTTGCTTATGATCACCCAGCAAGTCGGAAGCAGTGAGAACCAGGGTTTCCCTTCTTCATCCGTCGCTGACCTGTGTGTCAAATGTGACTGTGCACTTGCACATAAAGGGCTGCTGTGCATGGGTGCTCCTCAGACCATCTCTGCTCTGGTTAGGACCTAAGATTCTGTCCAGCGTGTCTGAGTGAGCCGGGAAAGAATCCACGTACATTTCAGGCTCCTCCATTGCAGAGGAGGGCCCGTCCCCAAGTCCGTTCTGATTGTTGTGGGCACCCACAGACCAGGGCACCCTTATATTTTTGTTTGAAATGAACTATGTAGGTGTTCCAAAGCCTTGGGCTCTCAATGTGTAAACTCCCTGGATGCCAGGCCCCTGTGTGGCTGACCTTCCTGGCAGGGCATGGTTTTTCCTTCCAGTGGGGTTTTGATGGTTCCTTCCGGTGGGAAGCCTCCATACGTTGAAGGCCAGCCTGTATCACGTGGTGTGTGTCAACTTCTCCCCTCACTTTCCCTCACCCATCCCCATAAAAGTGATTGGCCATGACGAGCACAGAGGGTGGCATTTCCATCTCTTACTGGCTCAGCAGGCATAAATGGGCACATTGACTTTACATAAAACTGTGTAAAATGTGGAAGACTCAGCATGTTGATCAAATAAACTGTCCTAATTCTCAACACAAAGCTTCTTGTCTAATGTTTCTAAGTGGTGCGATCATATATGGGGGGAGAGGGTGTGCAAAAATAGATTTCTTCAAGTGCGTGCTCCACGAAGACTCTCCTCTCTTGTCTGGGTGGTATGTCCACCACCCAGAGCCCTTTGCTTCTTCCTCCTGCTCACCTGGGCTCTCCACCAACTTGGAAGGGGGGATGATACGACACACTCAGCAGATTAAATCCACACTCGTTTCATAATCTCCACTCTGCCTACAGGCGGATGGGAAGGGAGACTCCAGGCAGAACTGAGCCTGGGGATGTGCTGTCTGCTCTCATCCCTGCTCTCCACTGCCATGGCTGGGGGTTAGGAAAGGTGGGTGCAGGGACTGGATCTCTATTCCTTCTGGTGATTTCCACAAAGCCATTTCAAGGCAAGAATTTCAGGTGAACCATAATCACCTTTCAGGTAACACCAAGTTGCCACATACTATCTCCAACTTCACCCCACACCAGTTAGAGAACATCCCTGAGAGGTCCCTACCGGTCTAAGTCACCTCCAGACTAAAAGATGCCCTGAAGGTCAGGAGAGTTGTGGGACTGATCCAAAGAGGACACAAAGGCCACAATCAGGCACAGAACTGCCCTGGCCTGAGAATGCTGGGATCCTGGGGCTGTGGAGTAAGCCAAGTTTGCCAGGTCTCGTTCTTCAAGTTCAACTTCATTAACTATCTTTCCCCTTTAAAGGTTCTAAAGTTTCTAGAACACCCTCCAATCTGCCACCCCAAGGAAACCATCTCTGATTAGGAGGGACAGGAAATAGGTGTCCCTGCCCACTAAGCCTAACTTTTCTGGCTGCCAGATTTAAAACGTGAGGTAGAGGAGGTACAGGGAATGTCAAGGGGCAGAGGCCGGAGAGCCAAAGCGCAGATGCTTGTCTGCTCCCGAGTGAAGCTATTCCAGGACAAGAGGTCATTCCCCAACATTATGGTATTCAGGGCAAGGTGACTTCACACAGCAAAGGGAGTGAATCATCTGTGTATGGTATTTGCACGCACGGCTGTCCAGCAGCCCCTTCCCTTGCCAGACGATGGGAGCACTGTTGGGACTGCCCAGATGTGAATGTGAAGATTCCAGAGTTATGGGTAAATGTCCCACCTGACCCCGCATGGTATCAAGGGATGCTGTTCACAGTGGCTTTCCTGATCACCGTAGCTGTGTTTTGCTGTGACCAAGAGTGCAGAAAAGAGCGTTGATATCCATGCTAACCTCAATTTTTTTAAAAAAAGCATAGTTCAGTTGAAACAAAAGGATCTTAAGGCAACAGAACACCAAGTGCCTCATACATAATGATAAGGACCACAGGGGGACACTGGAATCCCAGGAAGCGCTGAGTCACAGGCCATGGGAAGAAGTGGCAGTCATGTCAGGGCTGCATGGCTGGCACAGCCGCACAAGAAAGCAAGGACAGCAAAGGCAAAGGTGAGGGCAGCACTGAGGCAGCTGACCTTGGGGCCCACACAGTGCAGCCATGATGGCGTTCAGGCTAACAGGATGAAGGGAGAGCAGGGGCGCCACGCTGAAAGACCACCTTTCTCCACCTCAGAATGGGACGATCCATCTCGGGGAGGAATGGTGCTTTATTCGGCATTCCCACAGCCGGGCACAGTGCTTGGTGTTTTCTGAATGAATGAACGCCATACAAGGCTCTCGTGAGTCAGCAACAATTTAGGGCTTTAGCAGTGAAAAGGAAATGGGGTTACTTCCTATGCAAAAGCCAGGTGTAGTAGTCACCTTTCTTCATGTGAAGGGCTGAAACAGAGGAGGGAGGAGGAGGTAAGCATTTTCATTGCTGCTAATATCCTTCAGGTGAGAATGGGCATGAACCCACTGAATATTGATAATTCTCTGCTAAACTCAAACCTTAAAAAAAAAAGCAGCATAATATTCTGGCTGAAATGATCTCAAGTGAACGGGACATGGCCAAGTGTCTCCCACATGGCAGGACCACGGAAATCCAGAGGCACTGACAGAGGCCAGGGAAAAGAGAAGTGGCAAACCCCAGGAACTCCGACCACTAGCAGCTGTTTTTGATCAGGAACTAGGACCCCAGTAAACTGACAAGTGCTGGCAGTGGAGGGGCTACCAAGGCCCCAGAACCCATGGAAAAGAGGCTTCAAAAAGCTGGAATAAAGAACAGTGCAGTCTGCCTAGACCCTTGGTCTGCATGTGTGCTCCACACGCCTTGAAGATTCCATTCCAGAAGCGGGCAGCATCTACCAATGGAATGCCCAGGGCTTATGCGTCACAGCTGCCCCTCCACAACAGCATCTCACTGTGGCCTGCACCTCTCCCTTAGCAAGGAGCAGGGTCATTCACATCGGGAGGCAGATGCCCTGGGAGCAGGTCTCAGTGCCCATACACACACAGCGGTTCAGACACTGCCATGTTCCCAAGGAGGAGGTGTTTCAAGCCACAGCTGCCTCATCTATGACATACAGTCAGGCTTAGTCTGCTGGTCCTCATGAGCTGACACCCATCTTTGCACTCTGGACACACTTGCCCCTCAGCTGATAAAGAAATGGGCCGATTTCGGCTGAGTGGCTTCAGGGCCACAAGAGGATACCACCAGAGTAGAGAACACATTTGACCTCCCATCAAAACCCCTTCCCAGTCCCCAAGGACTGGTCACCTTGACCTCAGCCTGGCCCAAACCTACAGGAATGGGGCGTAGCACAGGAGTGGGAAGAAGGCTGAACACGCCCAGGAGGGACTCTAACCTGCTCGCTTGCTTCACCCTGCAGGAAAAACTAAACAGGGCTTGGGGCCCAAAGGACAGAAAAACACAACATACTAAAGGCACACGTGCTACTCCAGGCCACTCGCTTCTGAGCGTGATCCTAGGAGCCCCGTGGGCCTGGTGAAGGACATGTTAAGCATGCAGATCCCTGAGACCACAGCAGATCTGCTACTGAACTGAATGCTTCAGAGCAGGGTCCTCAGATCACCTGTTTAACGAGCATCACAGGCAATTCTGATGCACAGCAACATCTGAGAATCAGTGTTTGAAACAGAACTTTCCTTCTTCAGAAGATCATCTTTAGGCCCTGAATAAAATTCAACCTTGCTCCCCTTCTTCAGTCACTTTTTTGGTGTATTGCTTCTTCCAATAAAGTGAAAACACTTTATGAACCAGAAAAAACAAACAAAAAAGCTGAGCGAACACAAGGCTCTCAGAGAAGTGTCAAGCCACCGATTTTTACTGACATGAGCCCCCACTATGATGTGAACAGGTCACATTCATCACATTCCTTTTTGATTTCTGGCTCACTGTTCTTACCTACTTCCTTAAATTACTATTTGGTTAATAAAGAAAGGGCAAGAGCACAGTAAGAACACTAGCAGCATGAGGCTTTTGAATGAGAATCCTGCCAGGGTCAAGGTCTAACGTCTTCTCCGTGTCAGCAGGCATTTATTTCATACACCCGCAGCAAGGTGTATGACTGAGGGTTTGGGGCAAAAGGAGGAGGGGAGCTAGAGTACTCACTCAGAGCCAGAGTGACCTACAGGAAGGGGTGACAGCAGGCAGAGGCTTGGGCTGTAGACGTGGAGACCATACTCACTGGGGCGTTATCAGCTCTGTGTTTCACTCTTGTACCCTCCCTGATCCCTCAAGGCCAGGTTCGGTGCCCCTGCTGGTGCTCCCAGAGCACCCTGCGCCTCTCCTCTTCGGGCTCTTACCACCCTGTTCTGGGGTTGGGGTTAGCTTCTCACTTATCCACAGCCACCCTCGTCTCCTTTTAAGCTTTAGTTGGGCTTGTCCCTGGGTGTGTGAAGTAGGGATAGAAGAGTTTGCTCCTGGGTAAGATGCAATCTTGAGGCCCTAGAAACTTGGAGTCAGGCCTGAATCCTAAGACATGCTGCCATTTGTACTCCCTATACCATTCTATTTAATTGCTTGGAGCCAGACAGGTTGTTTTATTTACCAAGAAATGTAGTAATAATTTATAAAAGCCATGTTTACGAAGACAGCAAAGCATACCACTTTGAAAAGGCAGACTTTTTTTTAGCCATCAGTGAATAAGCACTTCAAAGATCTACAGAGAACTTTTTTCAATTTGTATTTGTTCCACAGCATTCTAGCTAAGAGTACAATGTAGGGGCAGATCAAACAGCACATGAAGATAGCTCAGGAGCCCCCAGCCCTCCAGAAACACGGAAGAGCTTCTAAATCCCCATCTGCCCCCAGTTAGGGGAGACTGCTAGAACACACTAGACTTGGCATCTGGGGATTTAGCACTTACAGTTCTATCATCTGGGAATGACTCCAAGAGCTCATGACATGTTTTTGAAACCTAAGTGCTATGAGGCTGGAGTGTGGACAAGTCATTGAGCTGATGAAGAACAGACCCACTGTCAACACAGCCTCGCTGTCTCCTACCTTTCTTCACATGTCGGGAGACCGTACTGTAACTGTACCTACAAATCTGAGAAGGCACAAAGGACCAGATGACATACTGCGCAAGAATGCCAGGGCAACTGGAAACCAACCGATTCCATACACAGGCAGGTTTGTTTCCAGGAAAAAGGGACCAAAGCACAGAAACAGAGGATAAGAAAACTTTTCAGATGATAACCATATTCTCATGATAATATCCTAAGTGGAGTCCACTTGTTATGGCACAAAGACCTTGACCCTATGTCAAGCATACACTAAAGGGATGTTACATACACTTTAACAAAGGGAAGACACAAGTCAAATAAAAGTGACCAGTGTGAAAGCAATAAGGGAGAACAGAACTTAAAAAAATTCCAAGCTGGTTTCAACAACAGTTTGTTCCAGAACAAGGAAATATTTCTAACAATGTTTTATACCCCTTCTTTATCAACTGCAGGCGACCATACCCTTTTCCAAAACTGGCAGTCAGACACACACACATCCCTGTCTTGTGCTTGGACCAGCTGCTCAGGCGATTTTAGCCAGCCACTTCTCCAAGTCCTGGATGTCAGCAGAGCCAGCGTCT